TTTTCTTCAATGCCTAACTTAATTTTCCTGGTTACTTATTTACTCTGTATTGTTTTCCTTTTGAACTAACTCCTAGTGGATACCAGTTCACACCATAGTCGACAATTTCACTAGTCTTTTAGGATAATAATTATGGATTTCTCTGAAATGGGCATATTGTGTCGATTCATCTTTGGATAGCTCTGAGGCATGAAGACCAAGATGTTGTGTCCCTGAGTTTGGCCATATTCGCCTTTAGCTGTATAATGTTGCCTCAGAGCGACAAGGAGATATTGTGGAACGAACCTAGTCCTGTGTCCTCTGTCATAGTATTCATGATGATTTTCAGCATTTTCCGCTGATTTGGTATATTCCCAGACGTTTCGATAACATTACCTGGTACAGGCAGACTGTCCCTATCCTAGGGAATAGGTACTGGCTTTGCTCGTTTTCCTTTAGCAGACGCTGAAGCACAAGGAAGCATCCTAGCTTAAATTTTGCGCATCAACTTCTGACGAATTTGTTAAGGAAAAATCCTTGTGAATTTTAGAGCGATCTTTTACTTTTTACGTAAATCAGAAGTTAAATGTTGCACTTAATTTAAGGAATGGTATTATCAGTATTCCTGGCTTGCTTTTTTCCCTGGTTGTTCATTTGAAGTTTAATGAACTTTATGCATCCATCCACTTCTGATTATTATCTTTTTGGCTTTTTGCTATTGACTTGCTTACCTAATTAATGCTTTACTTAACTAATTTTTATATTTTTCGGATTCATGCCGCATCATTGCTCGCATCAAAAAACATCACTTATGAATAGCAAATAGAGAGGTAATACGATGTATTCTGCTACCTCAGTCATCTGTATGGGTGGCATCTACTCATTTTTCTTTGTTTCATCCTTTTACGCTATTTAGTGAAGGATCTTTTTGCGTCTGTTTATTTACTTATATTTATATGTCTATATCTTCATCTCTAACAGCCTCTGCTTGTCTCTACCTGTCACAATTGTATCTATTTGCATGTTTGTCTGTATATTGTTCCCTCTTTCCATTTTTCTTTCTGTCTTTCCCTCTGTATATCCTTTTTGCCTTTCAGTTTCTCGATCACCCGTTCATTTGCTTTATCTCTATCGTTGTCTATTCCTTGTTTGATTTGAACGTGCTATCTCCTATCTAATCCTTTCATTTGGAATCATTGAACTTTCTATATAGCTCTTTCTCATTAACATATTCTCATTGGTGTACCTCATCAACGTATATCACTAAACACTAAAATAAGCGTCCCTATCATGACATGACAATAAAAAGTTTCACACATCTTCATCATGCTACTGGCTATGAATGTTGACTTGTTCAGCTCTCCAGAGATCTTACTTTGCTAAAATGCAACATTTCTAAGTGGTTTTTAGTGAGGCCAACTTTACACCCAGTCTTCTCTTGGCGATACATATTAAACTTATACCGCGAATTTCTTGGCTTGCTCAAGTAAAGCATTCCTTTATCCCTCCAATTTGTATTTGCTGTTTCGGTTCTCTTTTCCAGAACCCGTGCTACATTCTACCAGAAAACAGCCAAATCTACAATAATGGTGAAGCTTCTCAGGTAGGCGGGAATTACAATGACGTTTTAATCGGTTTTTGGACCAGAGCTGAGGATGTTCTGACTTGGTGTGGCCTCTTCCCTTCCGAGTTTTCATTTTAAACGAGCCATAGGTTTTTGAGGTCCTTGTGCCACTGCTATACAATGATTGGTGTGAGAAATTTAACTGAATGAAATTTATGTTTGGATCTGGTTTTGGGCCTTTTTTTATTTAACTCTTTCCCAAATGTGTTTTTTCATTTTACCTTGTTTATTTCCTGTGGGTGTTACATTAGCATCAACTTCAATTAATTTGGATCTCAAAGGGCCAAGTCTAAGAATACTCGTTAAATGGCAAGGACTTGGGTGCCTGTAATGCTTATGACCTAGTGGGTTTTCAGGCGCCAGATTTGGGCCGAGTCCTTAAGTTACATTATCTTGGTGGAGGAGGCCATGAGATCTAGGACGAGAAACTTTATTCCTTCTTAGACTCGCTAACGCCAGAAATTTTAATTATAGACGACTCTTATCACGCCAACCTGCCCATTATGTCCTTTTATGAGCCTATTTTTTTTAGTTAACTGGAGACGAAGGGAGATGAACTTTTCAGAATAATAAATGATGGTACTTGAAATTAGCCGTTTTAAGTCGAGATAATTTTTCTTCTAACTTGCAATCATGAGTTTTAACGTTGTAATTTCCTTACTCGTCCTTACTTATTTATCTGTTCGAAGTCACTTGCGATTAGGTTTAAGCATTTATCTTCCTTTTTCCTCAGCTGGCCTGAGTTTCAACTTAACATGCACTTTATTGCATTATTCTCTAATCCAGATGCTTAAGCCATATAGTCTAAAGACTGTTTTCTAGTTTGTTGATGAAAAATAACGAGGTGGATCATTTTTTCTATTCTTTTGATTATTGCTGTTCATCTTTTTCTCGCAAGCTATATTAAACGCATCGAAGAATGCTATCATTACTGCCACCTACATTGTACAAGTTACATTGTATAAAAACGGATCAATTTGGTGAAAACTATGTCACATGGCTTATTTTGTGACAACAATGGAAGGGGCAGTGGAGCCAAATTATCATTTTAGCTTTTTTATGCCTCTTGTTAGTTGGCTACACTGTGGGGCCTTTTGCTTGTGCTTATACCACCTCAACTGCAGTACCAACTTAGCATAACTTTGGTCCTTCCAGTATGGAAACGGCAAATAGCCAGCTTTGTTGCCAGGCCATTAAAAGGAAAATATACAAGCTCTATTTTGTAGCCAATTTTCATAGTACCTAGAAGCCTCGTTAGTTAGGCCATTAGAAGACTTGCCTTGAAATAAAAATGATCGAGCATAGTTTTTTCCATAACATATCACTTTTCCTGCAAAAATGTTGGGTTATCTGACATCCATCTTGATACCTTTTATCCACCTGAGTGATAAACCATCATTTGACCCCCTGTGGGGACATTCTAAAGACGCTTTCAGGAATGCCTTCTTGGCATAGCTTATGATAGAGCTCGATCCAGAATTCTCTTGGACTTGAATCTTGATTTTTGATGTTCCTATCTTTATTTATGTCTAACTCTATTCTCAATTTCTCTTTCGATATTTTTCTATCGTGCATATACAGTTGATATCTGGACAGGCAAGTACGGGCCTCAACCCTTACGATCCGCGCAACATTGATACTCTTCATCGGTTCCTCTCCATTTACGAGGAGCAGGCCGAACGCCTGGACGACACTCTTTTGGATGGTCAAGACGAACTTGGGCGGGTACGCGCACGAATCGCAAGTCTCCAGCATGAGTTGCAAGATCTTGAAGTCAAGCAGGATGAACACATGGCCAGGTAAGCGCATGCACATTCATATGTAGGTTTTGTGACAAATTACTGACTATGAAACAAGATTGTTTTCATATAAATCATGACAGTAAAATATGAAGTCTCGGCTTTTACAACTTTGTCGCGTTGTCAGACCGACCTCGAAGAATGTACACAGTCCTGCTTCTTCTCCTACAGTATTTACGATAATTTACATTATCGGGCCTTAGCAGACGTTTTACCGGCATCAACGTTGGCATTGCTATTAGTCTCTGCCACTCTTAGCACTGAGCTACAACGATATTCGGCCTGAGTAGGCTTTGAAACTACCAGCAGATCTCACCTTCAAAAAACGGCTTGACTCACTAGTGGTGCTGACTACGGCTGGAAATGTCAACGCTCCACTGCTTGAAATTCTCGTGATTACTTTATGATAGAACGCAGGACTAATTATATATTTTCTAGGTCTCCCCGATTTTGTGACGGAGTTGTAAAAACGAGGTCAAACCAAATCTATAAAGTGAAAGGAGACTGCGACCAAACCTCGGATAAGCTATATAGTTGCATTTTGAGCTGCTTTCAAGCCTATCTACAGCTGATATTTTCTTTAACGGATGACCCAATCCTTATATTAACCAAAACCATAAATCAAATGTCTAAAAAAATAAGTGCCGTGTACAAAATCGACAACGAACTAGTGTTCTTCAAATCTTTTCACGATTTTCATTTTTTTATGGACTGAGTAAGTAGAAGAATTTAAGTCTCATTTTAATCTCACAGGTGACTTGTATCTACCCTCAATCTTTCAGGAATTGCCTATCTGCTTTGCAAAATCTCACTATCCATTACCTTGCATGCAGGAGACGGAACAAGAAGAGGCTTCCTACTTGAGCTGGAGAACATATGCCGAATTGGCAACTAAGCGGGAAAGTTGGACTGACAAAGCATATCGTCAAGCGTCGGTAGATAAAGAGTTTAAGCTGATTAGAAAACAAGGCACGGAGGCGGTAGAGTTAAACTTATAAAGACTTTCACTTAGCACATACTTGATTTATCCCCAGCTTGGTAATGCATTATCCGAAAATTTTCATTAATCTATTTTTAACGATTTAGCTTGCTTGCCTACATAAAGCATCCATTTTCGCTGAATAGAATATGCGGTTTATGTTGGCTGAAAAAATGCTCCCAAACTCTTTCCTAACTTCCCATTCATCATCTCATTTCTCCAATTATTAACCTTATGTGGTGTTGGCTAGTGGAAGTTGCCTGCTCCTTTCTCTCTTTCTGATTTGTTAGAAGCAATCCTCGTCAATCTTTATTTAA